CCCCAGTACCCATTGTAGAGGAGGCTGGGTGGGCCCCAGAGCCGGTCTGGACGCAGAGGCTAGAGGAAAGATCCTCTGCCCCCGTCGGGGATCGAACCCCCGGTCGGGTTCATGACAGTATCAAACCAAATTTCAACTGAACTTTATTTTGAGCCAACAAATCCAGTCCGCATCCTGACACCCTATTTCATTAATGTCCATATTAGCATTTTCAGTTATCGCTATAAAGTTTGGAGTAGGCCTATATAATTTTAACTAAGTTATGAGTTGGACCTCCAGTCTATAAAGTGGCTGAAAGAAAGGAAACCAGATTACGAGTTTATCAGTAATAAAGCTGTGTACTTGTCAGCCAAGCTGTCTCGTCACTTTAATCTTGTAGAACTTGTACGCGTCCTGCCTATGAAACTTCATCTCCGGCCTGTCCACTCATTCAAAATCACAGCAAACTTTGTTTATTAAGTATAGTCATTGGCTGCAGTAGAAATGTGCTGTCAAGCAGTTAAATCAGTATTTAGTCACAAGTACTAGAACAAATCATGAACTATTTCAATGCAAATGAATGTGATAAACGTACAATTAACAGCAGAATTGTTTTTCGAAATACGTAAAATCTCGCATTTAGAATATTTTATCTTCCTGTGCCTTTTAAAAGCAAAATTAAAACATAATTAAATGTTTCATTTTTCGCTAAATATTATTAAAGTGGTGTGTTATTATTGTGGTAATAAAACGAGATAAATTAGGTGGGTGAGCATATGACATGCATGGAAGAGACAATATTCAGTATACTAAATCGAAAGGAAGAGAACACTTGGGAGATCTAAGTATAATTTGAAGAGTAATATTAAAGTTTATGTTAATGGAATAAAGTGTGAAGATATAGACTGGAATGATCTGGCTGAGAATAGATTCCAGTAAACATGTGACCACATTGTGAGAATAGTTTCTTTACTAGCTGAGTGACTACTAGCTTCTAAAGAACTCCGTCCAAAGGAGTTGGTTGCTTCTGCGATTTTGTAGGTAAAATTGAACAAAAGAAATAAACAATTGTTGAAGGTATTTCAATATGAAATACTCAGAGGGATATCTAAGGACTGGAAGATAAATCAGTACATATGGCCATTTTGTGTTATCTAGCTCATGAACGAATTAGAATAAATTTATATCAATAGAAAATAAATTATTTCTAATTTCTATCAGTATTTTAGAATAATAAAGTCAACATTTAATATCAACCTACAGACTGTAAATTTAGATAATTAACAAGTACGGTATAATTTGTTACCATCTGAACTTGGACAACAGAAAATACATATTGTTAATATTCTTGCTCTGTAAGGAAATATACGTAAGTATTTATCCCATTACTGTGTCTACTTTTATTTCTATGTACATGAACGTGTGAAATATTCGTTACTCTTTAAATTATTAAAATCAGATACATATAAAACTAGAATATGTCTTCATATATTGCAAGTAACCAGAAGTTATTCAAATGAAATAATTACTTTTGAATACTTGTAACGTCATGCGATATTGCACATTGCCTTATTTAAAATTAATTCACAGCATTGCCGTTGTTCAGGGAAAGCTTAAACGAGACTCACTGTGAATAAAACTTGTATAAAACAGAACGAAGAAAAGAAAAGTTTGAACTAACATCAGATTTCAATTTAATATTCTAGAGAGAGGAAAGTCTCGAATTTTGTCTGTTGCTAAGAAAAGGATCCAATGTTGATGTTCACACAACACGCTGAGACGTGGAAACATATTTACATGATCTAAACTCATGTGAAAATGTAGGATTTGAACACAGAACGATTCAAACATACAACAGAGGCTATTATTTCATTCGGTACGGCTATCGACCATTAAACAATAAGACAGAAATGCATTTAAAAGGCGATACTGCCTTGCATAAAGACGCTTATCTTATTATATCCAATGATTATATCATGCATAATCTTGAAAAAATGCAAATTAACACTCCATCGCCGTCTTGAAATGTTGCACTTCAAATATCATGTGTTTACTTTGGTAAGATCATCACTGATATTACACGAGTCATTGAAAGGAGGATCATACCGGTGTATTATGAACGTTTAAATTTATCTTACATTAACGAGCAGGTATTATAATAATATAATAATTCATAATAATATAATTTATAATAATATATAAATTTATAATAGGAACGTTGACTAACCGCATTGACCTTTCTAACCGCTTTACAAATGGAAAGATTCTTGAACATGTGTTAAGAAAGTAAAACTCTTAAGTTTACGACTTCTCATTCTTTCCATATCATAAACAGACGCAAAGACAGAGCTAACAGACAGGGAATCTACAATCTCTCAGCAAGATGGACTAAGGAACAAATATGTCTTTGTCATAAAATTACGGGACACAGACCGAGATCTGCTGTTTAATTCCCGTTCAAAAATCAACTTCCCTAAAGTCCCTTTTATGTAACCTCAATTTAATTTTCCTTACGGTTTGTACTTTCACAGCACACTGTTTCAAAACAAATAATAAATGAAGTGTGTAAACGTTGTAAGAACGCTTCATTTCGTTGTATAACTTATCTAAACACAAATTTCTTTTAGCATTTTGCTGCAATGAAGAATGGATTTATTTACAAATTTTAAAGTATTTATTTTTAGTAACTTAATTTCTTATCAATAATTTTAGAGTGACTCTACGATATAACGAAATAGAAGCTCTTACATTTTGTTAGTTGATTCTTTGCCTTTTTGTCCCGCAATTTGTCATTTTCAGACAGCGCAAATGTTCGATCAGAGAGCCATCTAAGATCATTCACCTTACGGGTATGGAATACCCAACATCAGTTTCCAATATTGGGAAAGTGAAGATGATAAAGCTACTTCAAACAGAGGATTTGTTTACATAAGTTGTTCAGTAATTTAACACAAGCTACAAACCCCAACTCTTCAGTGTTGGGATTATCGGGATTTGAGTGTAGGGGCTTTTTAACTCCATCTAGAAGCTATTATCTTATATAATAAACGTTCATCCCTCTCTGTCTACTTTCCTTCACCCTCTAGGGTTTAATACATAAAGTTTAACTAATCAACGTCTTGGTAATTTGAAGTAACGACCGTGGAGCATGGCCTTTGCTTCTCATGTTCTTCGTCTCTTGTCTCTTTCATCATCCAACTCCTTCGTATCGTTCACCTTCTAATACTGTTCTCTTCCCGTCACTACACCCTACTATCAAAACTTCTCTATATCGCACATCTTCTCATATTTCTTGTTCTCTTCGTTGGTTTTCCCTCTTTTCTTACTACCTTCCTTTCCTAATTGTCTTATCGCTTTTCTTAATGTGTTTAGAGCAAAATGGATCCTCTTATCCGTAACAATCTATCTTTCCTCCAACCCACCTTTTTCCAGAATTCATCTTATTATAATAACAAAAGGACAGACATAAAACGATAACATGGAACGAGATGAAAGTTGATATTAAGCCTAATACATTTTCTGCGTTTTGAGGTAAAACTCCTTAAAATTATGAAAATGTATATCTTCTCTACGCAGGTGTGAAAATTATGTGAAAGAGACTGAAAGGTTAATTTTTAAACACAGAATGCTCGTCGAATGCTTCAATCATTGGTATGT